AACAAGGTGAAAAACTGTTTGTATGTCCGATAGATCGTGCGAACCTAGGGAAGGACTGGGGTAATCCAACTGGCCGCACAGAATGCCGATATCCATTTCTGTGAAATATCTGTTCGGAGAAGCAAAATTGCCCAGAATTTTCTGTAGCTTGAGGAAGACTAAAAATTTATTAGATGACCGTTCCACGCATGTACAATTTTTGAAGCTAATCTAATAAATTCCCACGATTTTCTGAAGTTTAATTTTTCCTATTTCACACCCCAGGTTAAGCTGTTTTGGGTAGAGAAAGGAAACCTAAAATTCTCGGAACCGAAAATGCGATACAGAAAGGAATCAGAAAAATCCTCACTTTCGTAAAATTTTAAATTGCAGCTAAAATTTTCGGGAAAAAAGACTCACGGTTGCCCTAGTATGACCCAACAGATAAAAGTTTTTTTAGCGCCACTTGGAATACATTTCTAGAGATCTAAAAGTACTCTGGATAGCCTAAAAAGTGTTCTCAATCCATTTAGGAGGAAACCGTCGTTGGGTGCCCCTGGCATATAATAGGAGTTAGGATTTTTTTCTGGTAATGAATCAATTTAATTACAAGCAATGTGGCACTTTACGTGTTTTTGGGCGTGGACCGTTCGATTATTGATGGGGGTGGGGGCTGCATTAATTTTGGCTTCTAGATAAAGTTGTATATATGTATGTATATAATAGAAGTAGACTGATGGGAATGGATTATATCTTGAACATTTATTGCTACTCAGTGAGTCATGCCTCTTGCGAGGCGAATCATCAGGTAAAACAAAACAATAAATGCCAGGCGTGGCGTAGGTGCGTGGCGCGTCGTACTTAAGTGATGCTTACAACATGTCAAATTTGCGACAAGAACTAACCAAGTTAGAACAGTGTTTAGTAGAAATTTCTTTGAGTGCCTGCAACCTGAGATTAGTTCATTTCTATTGTCCAGGGTAGACATTACAGGTTTACAAATTATAAACAGCGCAACGAGCCACGCGCCACGCCTAGTATTTACGGTTCTGTTTTACCTATATCTTTGATTGTAACCGTTAATTTTGGCAGTTGCCTGATGATTACCTCGCAAACTGTAACTGAACTGAAACTCTGGGTAGCAACAAATTTTCGAGATTTAATCCAGTTTCATCAGTCTACTTCTATTCTGCTCTAGGTTAACTATTGAGCACTTGAAATATTTATATAGATATTTGCGCCTTATAAGTTTTTGAAATCGCCTTATAAGTTTTTGAGCACTAGGGAGTTTAAGATACGGAGACTACGGACTACGAACTACGGCTGGACGAGCATTGTCGTTTGTTTGTAGCACTGGGTTGAGTCGTGCAAATATAGAACGTTAAGATTCCACTACAGACGGCAGACTACGAGAGAAGAGGCGGAGAGGGAAACAACACGCAAAAATTTTCTTGTTTTCACCACAGTTCACAAAAATGCAAGTCAGTTTTGCATGTGATCTTATCTTTAGAACAATGAACAAATTCTTCGCCTACAAGTTTACTCCTTGTTCCATCACCGTAGCTCGGGTGAAATTGGTAAACAAAGTTTTGGTTGCACAGGTTTTATTTTTTTCGCCAATGAATACTTATGTAAAATATTAAAGAAATAGACAGAAATAGTAATAGTTCATTTATTAGATTTAGAAGATGGACTTCTCCGACTACTGAACTGATCTAGTTTGAAGTATTGAAATGCCCAGTTTCGATTGTCTCGAAGATGTTTACATCATTTTCATTCAGCAAATGCGATACAAAAACTCGCATAAACAAAGGTCACACAGGTAGAAAGACACACTAATCAGTTCGAACAAACATTGAAACTTTTCAAGTGTGAAGAGAAAGAAAATTACCTGCATGATTTCTCTTCTCCTCGGCCATCAATCGGAATTCTGCGTATAAACAGCTAAGCTTCTTTAAATATGAGCTTAGCTAGATAAAAATGTAGTCACAACGGTGGATTAAAAGCGTAAATCTGAGCAGAAATTAGACACAACTTACATATTTCGCTCCCCTCTTACTTAAAGCAGGCAAATGGAACCTTTTTTACGAAAAGACGAGATTCTTGCATTATCGAGACGGCAAAATACGAGCAAAATGTTCTCCGTAGTCCCGACTACGCGAAACAGCTCAACAACTCACCGTAGCCGCAGGACTACGCGGGAAAAATGAACAGTCACGTGGTTTTGATCATGCGCAGTAGCATGTTTATCCGTAGCCGTAGTCCGTAGTCGGCGTATCTTAAACTCCCTACTATCGATGAGGACACCACTCTGGCACTTCGTTGTATGTATAATATATATTATCCTTCCAGCCCTGTAAAATTCTTTTTTAATCTCGGTGTCCTTGTCCTCCCCCCGCCCCCTATCAATAAGGTAATGGTTCACCCTTTATTTGTTTATGCAAAGAAAGGGATCGATACAGGAGGTATATTGCGTGACAAAAATGCAAATTAGCATATGACTGAAGGCGTGTATGGGACAAACGTTCAATCTTACCCGCACTCGGAAAAATATTACAACAGACATACCCTTCACCAAACTTAAAGTGATTCATAATAATTTCTCAAGAGCTACACGAGAAAAGTCACCCGAGGTGAGAGAATCCGACATGTTGAGCATAAATGAGGGATAAACACGGATGCGGGAATTCAAATTCAAATCATGTCAAATGCTCGAAATGGAAAAAGAAACTCAAATGGAATATGAGATAAATTTCTATTTTAAAAAGGGTATCCAGTTGCTGAGTTTCCAAGCTGAAGATTGATTACATTTGAGAAGAAGTTAATAACCATACGTAGTTTGAGATTTTAACATGCTGAAATGGACAACCTGTCTATAAACAAGCACAATTTGCATATCCGACGGGTTGATCAAGAATGTCAGTTTATGGCATTTTTTTCGGCTTTCATTTATACAAACTTAAAAAGGCTAGCGAAAAGAAAACACATGTTGATAATTTTGAGGATACACAACAACATTCTCATCTACTGAGAAAATATCTACTAAATTAAAGTCGTTGTGCATGAACCGTTAAGCGGGCAAATCTATGCAAATAATGCCGAAAAGAGGCTCTTAAAAACGTTTGATCACGTCCAACCCAGAACGATACCCGCACCTTTGACTTTATTTTCTGACAGAATAAGGTAAGATCTTTTCTGTGAAGTGCATTTTACCTGTGATTTTTGTACCACTTTGGAGATTTTAGCTTTTCGGCTTTGGAAGAATTTGTCAAGAGGGAAAAAAAAACGCAAAGGGGCTTGTGTTTGATGTTATTAATTTAATTTAATTTTGCATCAAGTTATTCCATTATCCGTCACAGGACAAGCCAACTGCAGCTAAATCCATTGTACTATGTAGAATTTCGCGATATTTATCCGTTACGAAGAAGCGCGGCTTTTAAAATCACCGAATTTCGGCCATGGAATAAGGTTGAAAAAGCGCTCTCAGACAGGAAAGAAGTTTTGTGCTGTAGCGAAGCCCAGAAAAGGATTTTGAAAAAAATTAGTTCGATTTTAATCATTCCTCATTAAGTCCTTTTCACCCACAAAAAACAAAGGGAAGGTTTACTGGCGATCCCAAACTCGCCGGACCGCTCTTAGGTGGACAGCCACTTAAATAAAAACGTGAGTCAACCATTCCGGCCAAATTCAAGCGAGAAATGATGATACAATAACATAAATACTGTATTCAATATATACTGTGTGGCATTTCGCCACCCCATTTTTAGTTTTCTTTTCTTTCCTGGACTCGACAATGAGTGGTCACGTGACACAGATATCTACCGGTTTTATCCGAGGTTGCCAAATTTTGTAAGGTTCTGATAAATTTTCACAAAGTTATGACCATTATAAGATTTTATGCAAATTAGCCTCAGGCCATGCCTTAATATGCTTGAGTCTGTCCGAGGACCCTCAAGCGACTATGAAATGTGATCTTCATGCAAAATATAATAAGGCAAGTGCTTAGCTCCTCGTACGTTCAAAATAATTTGTGGACTTCCCACGTTCGAGTTTATAACCTCCTCTTTTCAAACCAAATTATCTATAGAAAGTTCCCTCTTTCTTAAACTTAATTGTAATATATTCCTATACATAATTATTTGCGTTCTACTGATAGGTTTTCTTTATAGTCTTAAATCATTATGTATGTATTTTTATTTTATTCGCGCATTATTGTGAAAACTAATATAATGTACATTTGGTATTTGTAGCTATACATGAGCAGGAGATCTCAGCAAGCTCTGCTAAGCCTTTGAGAGGAGATTCCCAACTTTACTTATCAATTAAATTACTAACATATTGTTTGCCACTTAATATTACAATATAAACTCTATCGAATTTTTAATGAAATGATGCAAGCTTATCAATGTTAGGAATTTTAATGTACTGTCACATGCCTTTCAACCTTTTAGACGTTCTTTTAATTCTTCCAATATAGTTGTTCCTAACTTAAAATTCTACAAGAGAAACCACCTTTTTCAAAAATACAAAGAAACCTAAAAACTAAAAGATTTCTTGTAAATACAAGACTGCATGCAGATACATGTTTTATAGACTTAGATTTCAACAAACAGAACTCATGATCATTTACTTCAACAAGTTAACTGCTTTTAACTGTAAGTAGCTTCATTCTGACGATCCGGGTAACCGAAATCTTTCGTAACTTTGTATTCCTGGGTAAGTCCATTTAACCGAAACAGAATGTTTCGTGGAATCACAGCTACGATAGCATCAGCTTCATTTACAATTTTAAATGACACCTGACCAGACCACAGAGTCGTTACGTATAAGAAAAAGCTTTACATTTTGAAGAAAACCTTATTGTATTCGTAGCCATTTCTTAAGCCAAAAGCTTATTATTATTAACGTTTCTAACTGGCTTCCTTATTTTTTTATTTAAGATTAACTCTATTTCCGTAGAACTATTTGCTAATTATTCTGGTCTAGTTTTTTTACCTGTTTATGTTTCAGAAAAGACCCAAATGGGCACTGTTCAAGAAGCTATTCACCATGGCATGATTGCCGCTGATTTTCTTTGGACCACTAAACGAGTTGTCCACGCTATCGAGCTGTGGAACGAGTGCTTAACACTACTAAACAACAAAATCTTAGAAAATGAACATGAACTTGCCACAATAGTGCGTATAGCGTTGAACAAGAGGCTGTTTTATGGAAATGCTGCTATTACGAAACTTTCACCAGCTATAGAATCTGGCAAAAAGCTTTTAGTCCTACTTCGTAATCTTAGGAGAAAAAAAAAGAAGGTTAACACAGCCTTGATGTTATCAAAACTGTACTTCCAAAAAAGTGAATACCAGGAAGCACAAGCAGTCCTCAAAATTGCACTCTGCGTTTACAAAGAAATCGAAGACAAAGACGGAGAGGCGTCATGCTACGTAAACCTAGGAGCTGTGTTTCTTTCTGTCGGAGAATATGCCAAAGCTGAAGAATATCTTCATAAAGCACTTACCATCAACACAGAAATTGGCGACAGAAACGGAGAAGCGACATGCTACGGAAACCTAGGAAATGTGTTTCAATCTGTCGGAGAATATGCCAAGGCTGAAGAATACCTTCATAAAGCACTTACCATCAACACGGAAATTGGCGACAGAAACGGAGAAGCGACATGCTACGGAAGCCTAGGAAATGTGTTTGAATCTGTCGGAGAATATGCCAAGGCTGAAGAATATCTTCATAAAGCACTTACCATCAAGACAGAAATTGGCGACAGAAACGGAGAAGCGGAATGCTACGGAAACCTAGGAAATGTGTTTCAATCTGTCGGAGAATATGGCAAGGCTGAAGAATATCTTCATAAAGCACTTACCATCAAGACAGAAATTGGCGACAGAAAGGGAGAAGCCACATGCGACGGAAACCTAGGAAATGTGTTTCAATCTGTCGGAGAATATGCCAAGGCTGAAGAATATCTTCATAAAGCACTTACCATCAAGACAGAAATTGGCGACAGAAACGGAGAAGCGACATGCTACAGAAACCTAGAAAATGTGTTTCAATCTGTCGGAGAATATGCCAAGGCTAAAGAATATCTTCATAAAGCACTTACCATCAAGACAGAAATTGGCGACAGAAAGGGAGAAGCCACATGCTACGGAAACCTAGGAAATGTGTTTCAATCTGTCGGAGAATATGGCAAGGCTGAAGAATATCTTCATAAAGCAGTTACCATCAAGACAGAAATTGGCGACCGAAAGGGAGAAGCGACATGCTACGGAAACCTAGGAGCTGTGTTTCAATCTGTCGGAGAATATGCCAAGGCTGAAGAATATCTTCATAAAGCACTTACCATCAAGACAGAAATTGGCGACAGAAACGGAGAAGGCACATGCTACGGAAACCTAGGAAATGTGTTTCAATCTGTCGGAGAATATGCCAAGGCTGAAGAATATCTTCATAAAGCACTTACCATCAAGACAGAAATTGGCGACAGAAACGGAGAAGCGACATGCTACGGAAACCTAGGAGCTGTGTTTCAATCTGTCGGAGAATATGGCAAGGCTGAAGAATATCTTCATAAAGCACTTACCATCAACACAGAAATTGGCGACAGAAAGGGAGAAGCGAAATGCTACGGAAACCTAGGAAATGTGTTTCAATCTGTCGGAGAATATGGCAAGGCTGAAGAATATCTTCATAAAGCACTTACCATCAAGACAGAAATTGGCGACAGAAAGGGAGAAGCCACATGCTACGGAAACCTAGGAAATGTGTTTCAATCTGTCGGAGAATATGCCAAGGCTGAAGAATATCTTCATAAAGCACTTACCATCAAGACAGAAATTGGCGACAGAAACGGAGAAGCGACATGCTACAGAAACCTAGGAAATGTGTTTCAATCTGTCGGAGAATATGCCAAGGCTGAAGAATATCTTCATAAAGCACTTACCATCAAGACAGAAATTGGCGACAGAAAGGGAGAAGCCACATGCTACGGAAACCTAGCAAATGTGTTTCAATCTGTCGGAGAATATGCCAAGGCTGAAGAATATCTTCATAAAGCACTTACCATCAAGACAGAAATTGGCGACAGAAACGGAGAAGCGACATGCTACAGAAACCTAGGAAATGTGTTTCAATCTGTCGGAGAATATGCCAAGGCTGAAGAATATCTTCATAAAGCACTTACCATCAAGACAGAAATTGGCGACAGAAAGGGAGAAGCCACATGCTACGGAAACCTAGCAAATGTGTTTCAATCTGTCGGAGAATATGGCAAGGCCGAAGAATATCTTCATAAAGCAGTTACCATCAACACAGAAATTGGCGACAGAAAGGGAGAAGCGACATGCTACGGAAACCTAGGAGCTGTGTTTCAATCTGTCGGAGAATATGGCAAGGCTGAAGAATATCTTCATAAAGCACTTACCATCAAGACAGAAATTGGCGACAGAAACGGAGAAGCCACATGCTACGGAAACCTAGGAAATGTGTTTCAATCTGTCGGAGAATATGCCAAGGCTGAAGAATATCTTCATAAAGCACTTACCATCAGCACAGAAATTGCCGACAGAAACGGAGAAGCGACATGCTACAGAAACCTAGGAAATGTGTTTCAATCTGTCGGAGAATATGCCAAGGCTGAAGAATATCTTCATAAAGCACTTACCATCAGCACAGAAATTGGCGACAGAAACGGAGAAGCGACATGCTACAGAAACCTAGGAAATGTGTTTCAATCTGTCGGAGAATATGCCAAGGCTGAAGAATATCTTCATAAAGCACTTACCATCAACACAGAAATTGGCGACAGAAAGGGAGAAGCGACATGCTACGGAAACCTAGGAAATGTGTTTCAATCTGTCGGAGAATATGCCAAGGCTGAAGAATATCTTCATAAAGCACTTACCATCAAGACAGAAATTGGCGACAGAAACGGAGAAGCGACATGCTACGGAAACCTAGGAAATGTGTTTCAATCTGTCGGAGAATATGGCAAGGCTGAAGAATATCTTCATAAAGCACTTACCATCAAGACAGAAATTGGCGACAGAAAGGGAGAAGCGACATGCTACGGAAACCTAGGAAATGTGTTTCAATCTGTCGGAGAATATGGCAAGGCTGAAGAATATCTTCATAAAGCACTTACCATCAACACAGAAATTGGCGACAGAAACGGAGAAGCGACATGCTACGGAAACCTAGGAAATGTGTTTTCAATCTGTCGGGAGGCTGTATTTCATAAAACTCTACCATCAACGGAGAATATGGCGAAGGCTGAAGAATGCTACGGAAATCTGTGTTTCAATCTGTCGGAGAATATGGCAAAAGAATATCTTCATAAAGCACTTACCATCAAGACAGAAATTGGCGACAGAAAGGGAGAAGCGACATGCTACAGAAACCTAGGAAATGTGTTTCAATCTGTCGGAGAATATGCCAATGCTGAAGATTATCTTCATAAAGCACTTACCATCAACACAGAAATTGGCGACAGAAACGGAGAAGCGACATGCTATGGAAACCTAGGAAATGTATTTCAATCTGTCGGAGAATATGCCAAGGCTGAAGAATATCTTCATAAAGCACTTACCATCAAGACAGAAATTGGCGACAGAAACGGAGAAGCGACATGCTACGGAAACCTAGGAAATGTGCTTCAATCTGTCGCAGAATATGCCAAGGCTGAAGAATATCTTCATAAAGCAGTTACCATCAACACAAAAATTGGCGACAGAAACGGAGAAGCGACATGCTACGGAAGCCTAGGAGCTGTGTTTGCAAATGTAGGAGAATATGGCAAGGCTGAAGAATATCTTCATAAAGCACTTACCATCAACACACAAATTGGCGAGAGAAACGGAGAAGCGGCATGCTACGGAAGCCTAGGAAATGTGTTTCAATCTGTCGGAGAATATGCCAAGGCTGAAGAATATCTTCATAAAGCACTTACCATCAACACAGAAATTGGCGACAGAAACGGAGAAGCGACATGCTACGGAAACCTAGGAAAGGTGTTTCAATCTGTCGGAGAATATGGCAAGGCCGAAGAATATCTTCATAAAGCACTTACCATCAACACAGAAATTGGCGACAGAGTGGGAGAAGCGTCATGCTACGTAAACCTAGGAAATGTGTTTCAATCTGTCGGAGAATATGCCAAGGCTGCAGAATATCTTCATAAAGCACTTACCATCAACACAGAAATTGGCGACAGAAACGGAGAAGCGACATGCTACGTAAACCTAGGAAATGTGTTTCAATCTGTCGGAGAATATGCCAAGGCTGAAGAATATCTTCATAAAGCACTTACCATCAACACAGAAATTGGCGACAGAAAGGGAGAAGCGACATGCTACGTAAACCTAGGAAATGTGTTTCAATCTGTCGGAGAATATGCCAAGGCTGAAGAATATCTTCATAAAGCACTTACCATCAACACAGAAATTGGCAACAGAAAGGAAGAGGCGACATGCTACGGAAACCTAGGAAAGGTGTTTCAATCTGTCGGGGAATATGGCAAGGTCGAAGAATATCTTCATAAAGCACTTACCATCAAGACAGAAATTGGCGACAGAAACGGAGAAGCGACATGCTACGGAAACCTAGGAGCTCTGTTTGTAGATGTAGGAGAATATGCCAAGGTTGAAGAATATCTTCATAAAGCACTTACCATCAGCACAGAAATTGGCGACAGAGTGGGAGAAGCGTCATGCTACGTAAACCTAGGAAATGTGTTTCAATCTGTCGGAGAATATGCCAAGGCTGAAGAATATCTTCATAAAGCACTTACCATCAAGACAGAAATTGGCGACAGAAACGGAGAAGCGACATGCTACGGAAACCTAGGAGCTCTGTTTGTACATGTAAGAGTATATGGCAAGGCTGAAGAAAATCTTCATACAGCACTTACCACCAACACAGAAATTGGCGACAAAGACGGAGAAGCGTCTCGCTACCTAAAGCTAGGAAACACATCTCAAGCCTTATCGGATCTCTCGTCAAGCATTCAAATTTACGAAAAAATGCTTACTTCTCTAGGAAGCAAAGATAGCCACAATATATCATTTTTTGACAAGAACGCGTCTCCCTATCGGCTGTTTTGTTCATTGAGTTGTTCTTGTGGGAAACCCTATGAAGCTTTACACGCTGCTGAACTTGGACGGGCCAGAGCTCTAGCAGAACTTATGTCAAATCGCTACTCCATTGAAAAAGAAATATCCATTAACCCACAATCGTTTGTTGGCATCGCGGAAGTAATTAAGAAAAATGGCAACAGCACCTGCCTCTACATCTCCTATGACTACGATGACAATATATTTTTGTGGGTTTTGAAACAAAACAAACCGGTAGTCTTCCGAAGAACGAAACTTTGTGAAAGCTATGTTAGCAAGCATGGCAAAATCTCTGTGTATGACCTGTTTGGAAACGAAAGCTTATTAAGAAAATTTCACGTTTTACCTCAAGAGCAATGCGAAGACCGATCACTCTTCTCTTCATTCGCCAACCAACTTACAAACGAATCAAAGCTGGAAGATAGTCTCTCAACCTTGCGTCCTCTTTTAGATGAGGCAGAAGTATACACGGACCCTGAACCGCCAACACTTTTTCAGGTTTACAACATGTTGATTGCTCCCGTGAGTGACTTGCTAGAAGGATCTGAAATCATTGTTGTTCCTGATCGCTGCTTCTTCCAAGTTCCGTTTGCAGCATTACACGATGAAAGTAGCCGCTATTTATCAGATTCTTTCAGGATACGAATTGTCCCTTCTTTGACGACTCTCAAGCTCATTCTGGACAGTCCAGCCGACTCTCACAGCGAAACTGGTGCATTGATTGTGGGTGAGCCAAGAGTGACGGATGTGTATTTCAAGGGAGTGTTAAGGTATCTCTGTCCATTGCCTGGCGCGAAAGGGGAAGCAGAGATGATTGCGAGACTACTACCTGAATCTCACCTTTTAATAGGAGAGCAAGCAACAAAACAGGCGGTTCTTCAGAGAATACCCTCAGTGAGCCTCGTACATTTCGCTGCTCATGGTGATGCCGAAAGAGGAGAAATTGCTCTTACCCCCGCTGACTCCACAGTGGAGTTTCCACACGAAGCAGACTACTTACTGTCAATGACCGACATTTCACAAGTTAGACTTTCAGCCAAACTGGTGATCCTTAGTTGTTGCCACACCGCACGTGGACAGATCAGAACAGAAGGCGTTGTTGGAATCGCTCGAGCATTCTTAGGATCGGGTGCACGCTCAGTGTTGGTGGCATTGTGGGCCTTAGAAGACAGAGCAACAGAGGAGTTCATGGGAAGATTCTACGAAAACCTTGTCCAAGGGAAAAGTGCAAGCGTAAGTCTTCACCGGGCCATGAAGTGGATGCGAAATAACGGTTTCTCAGAAGTGAGGCAGTGGGCACCTTTCATGCTGATTGGGGATGACGTGTCATTTCACTTTGGTGAAGAAAAGTGAAGGTAATTGTTTTCTGACAATTAGAGCCATAGGAAGTCTGTCAGGTCTTTTTGTATTACAGTTTTATCAACTTGGGTGCATTTGGTACTTTTAAGTACCAAATAGAAAGCAGTATTTACCCTTAAAAGCCACATTATTGACTACATCTGAAGTTAGCTTTTACTATGACTGAGGTAAAATATCAATTAACCGCTTTTTAACATTCGACCACACCTCTGTACTTATCAGTCAACCCGTGCATATGCGGGGCTTTGCATTTGAAAAAAAAAACACTAAGCCCCGAATCCCTACAACAACACAGAATGATTTAATTCTTTTCTCTCTTTTCTGATATATGAGGCACAAATAATTCAATATTCTTTTATTTGCTACGGTTCAATATGATCGTGAGGGTTTGCTGAATATAATAGGAAGAGAATTCCAGTTATGAATCCGAACCAAACAGCCCAGGGAAGGTTTTTGTTTGACATAAAGATAATCGGATCAAAAATATTATGGCGGAGATCTAGATCTCAGAATTGATCGAAAACACTGCAAAGTACAAATTATGGACTGTGTATGGAGTCTTGACCGTAACTAGAGGGCTTTTCGCTGACACTGACTGAATTACAGAAGTACACTGGTTCTAATGGACCAAAGAGGGAAGACCGAGATTCCATAGGTCATCAAGGCAAGAAGTTTCAAACCTATTTTAGCTGTGCACCCTACATTTCATTTGTGATGCCAACTGATTGGAAAGTTTTAGCGGTGAGATAAACTCAAATAAGTAAACCTCTTCCGCCACGATAAAGCCGGAGGATCCCTCCTCTATGTAAAATGAACCTAAATGCCACTTAGCCCAGCTGGAGTCTTTTTGTGTTGAGTAGATGCGTTTTATTAATTTTTATGTTTCTTATACATTACTGTTGCAGGTATTACACTAACGACACACCATGGAATAACGAAACAGCCCTTCCGCAGAATTCCAATGAGGTAGTCCCTGGCGGATAATGTAAAGGATCAATCTCTGCAGCATACGAACATTGATTAAAAGAATTACTGTGAAAGAGAACTGACTTGCTTGGCCCAGCGGTTTATCTTTGCCGGCTTAATTATTTTTCCCACTAATCTTATTTTGTGTGTGTGTGTAGGTACCTTGAGTACTCTAATCTCTAAAATGTCTTGAAAAGCTCAAATCACCAGCTTTGTACATGTAGAAGTGTACATCGGTAGCTCGGACAATGATAAAACTGTAATTGTGACACGAATAACGTTAGGATTAGCTAATTTCCCTGTCTTTTTAGGTAATTTGCAAAAAAACCCTACTTCCTTAATTAGTCCCTAAGGCTACAAATAAAAAATACTTTTTATGTAAACGAGTTTTTTTTTTATCGCAAATTGAAGTTTTATTACAATGCAAACAACATTGCAAGGTTTATAGTTTAGTAGAATTGCATATATTTTAGAGCCAATCTTTTTGTGAACATAGAAGCAGTAGTTTTGCAACCTTGCATTATGAAATAAGATTTGACGACTCAATTTAGTCAAATAAAAGCCTTGCGAAACCAACTTGTCCTAACTCCAAACTAGCCCAGTTGTAAACTAAAGGTTATTTCATTGTATAATGTTCATGCCTGAGCACAGGTTAGTATGTTAGTATAGAAGACCAGTATTTGCTTTAAGTATGATGCAAAGATTTGGTGGTCCAGTTTTCAGTAGTGCTTTGAGTAGGAAAACTAATTTTAGTAGTTCGAACAGCGTGTCGCGTATCCGAGAAGGTCGCACATGGAGGTTTGATTATAATCTGTATATATGTAATCTCACCAGGTTTTTAAACTGAAAATAAAGCGTATTTGACATAGCAAATTCAACGACGAAACTTTATTGAGCCTTTCGCTATTAAGACCACTAGTGTTTATCCTTAATTATCCATTTGCTCTTTAACAAAAAATATTTCCTACAATATCAGAGAGATTTAGAATCCATTCAGGTCAAACGGCAACGTCAATTTTTACGTGACCAAAGTATCATTCTAAAAAAATAAATAAATAAAATTGTAATTTGTAGTTTGTTTTCCCACGGAGCACTCAGAAGTTGTTAAGAACTCGCTTAAACGAGTCCGTGCATTGCGGATCGAAAGGTTGGACGGTTTTTGGAGAGAGTATTACAAGTATTACAATTACTCAAGTTAGGAAATCAACAGATAAAAACTGAAAAAATTAAATTATCCTTACGGATAAACCTGACATGAATGTCTTTATTTTGGGGTAGTAAAGATAAACATTTAATGACAAATAAAGAGAAAGCTTAGCAACATGTTTCCAAATGGCGTTAACTGTAAACGTGATTCTAAATCTCTATACGCCTGCGTTCGCACGGAAGTTCTTCAACGAACCAATGGGGCAGGAATGGTAACAATTCTTTTCGGTGTCCGTTTTACCACCGCTGCTTTACTTCCAAAAATCACTAACTGATCCTTTTTTTTGAACTACCGTTCATCCTTTGCACAGATACCAGGAAATAAATTTAAGACTTTTCAAGACTTTTTTCCAAAACAATAATTTCTTTTTCCAGACTCAAGATTATCAAATAGGTAAGTGATCAACAGAGACCTTAAAAAAACGCAGGAACAAAGATTTTTTCATGATAGGCTGCAAACAAACGGGCGAAATTAAATAAGATTTGACCAAAACGAAAAACATTTCACTCATCAAGCACTATTTGTTGTAGCTTTGAAAAAAAAACTCAAGATTTTTTTTACTATTTTTTCGGACTTCATCTCCATTTTCGAGACTTTTTTCAGGTCTGGAAAATTTCTGAAAATTGATGCTCTGTACGATCCCTGAGTGTTGTACAAGGTATTTCACTCCATAACTTGCACGTGTACACCACCGTTCAGAGAGCTACTTCGGGTCCCATCGGGGATGGATTTTGATTTTCGTCACTATCCAGATCTTGGTAGTACTTCTGATTGGTGAAGGCAAATTTTTAACCAATCAGAAGAGTACTACCCAGATCTGGGTAGTGACACGTCATCAGTATGGAATTTCTGCTCTCGTTTCTCAGACGTCATTTCGAGGGGAAACCAGTCGTGGCGTCGCGAAATGTTGGCTGTTTTCTCAGGCTAACCTGGGTCAGTTACGAGTGGAAATGCCACGACATTTGATGCGCGTATCATGGCAGAAAGGCTCTACGTACGCGTGACAGAAATTAATGTGCAACGATGCTAAAGTAAGGTGATGGCTAATCCTAACACTGTTGGGAGCCAAGTAGTTGAGACTGTGAAGACATACAAACTACTCGGAGTACCTATTAGGCAGGATCTTAAATAGAACTCACATGTAGACTGTTTCATTGCTAAAGCCGCAAAACGTCTGATAGGATAGAATGTATTTAAAAGAGGGCACTCACAATTATATATCCTGAATGCACAGCCTATAATCAAGCCCTTTTAGAGGCAAAAGTCTCATCTCTAGCAAATAGAAGGGTTTCCCTGTGTCGTCGATTTGTCTGTGATGTGGCTAGCTATCACAATAATCATTCCTCATTCCCAAAACTGAAACAAGATCTGTCTGTTATAATACAAAGAACAATAAACAAATTAAGAAGAACTAAGAGAGCCGACGAATTTTTTACATTATGATTACTAGTACAACTGTATACTCCTAGCATAGTTACGTTGTATCTTTTGGATTGTATACATATCACTTGTTCATTCAGTATTTTTTAACTGCAAGAAAGTGAAATAAACTATATTTATTATTATTGGCCTCAACAGTGTGCATAAAACTTTAGCCAGGTCGGAATGAGGGAAGAAATAGCCTCCTTTGAAATAAGCTGCTTTATAGGGTTAGCTTTTTACCAGGGTACTTACCCAGAAAACTATGCTATAGGCTGAACATTGGCTTACAGGAGCTACGGCACGAAATGTATTATAATTCAAAAAGAGAGAGCTGCCAGCAAAGTGAGTAAAACATAAAATAAAGCCGCAAAACACTAAGATAAGGTATGAAAACACAGCAAATACAAAAGGACGCATGGATAGACAAACAAGAAGAAGATTGAAATGGATTATAATTGTTTGTTTTATAAAAAAAGTTTTTTCAAAGTTCGTTTTTGTTGTTTGCAGCGTTCGATACACATAATGCCTTAGGGAGATATCTCATTGTTTGATACGAAGCTGTGAACTTGTCATTTTCAGGAAAACTCCTGGCTATAACGTCAAGTTTCTATAAAGCGTTGTAGACAAAAACAGCCCGATGAACTACCTTATATTTTCTTAATTTTGCGAGTATTAAACTTCGCTAAAGATCATGAGCCATACTTCTCGAGTATTTAATTTCGCGATTGTTAGTAAAAGATACAAGGATAGGATAGGATAGGATGCCGTAGGATAGGAGAGGATAGGATAGAAGATTTTTTAGGGGTCTTAAAATTTTTTGAAGGGAAAAGGGGGGGTGTAAAAATTTCTGAAGGCAGGAGAGGGGGATGCTAATTTTTTTTAGATGCCATTGAAAGATTAAGTATTTGTAACATTATTGAAAACCACTGCACAAGTGAAGTTCCTTATTTTTTTGGTTCAATGAAGCTGGGATTTTTTTATTATTAATGCACTAAACTGTAATGTCTTCTACTTTGTGCAGCAACCAGCTCTATCTACATAATCATTATCTCCTTTACTTTTATCCTACTTTTATAAAGTCACCGATTGTTTTCATTGTCATCAATATCATTATAATCATCATCACCATCATTAGTATGTGTAATCAGACGGTGACGAGTGAAATTAGGGAATAATTTCACGCGCGTTTTGTCCAAATCCTAATAATTTCTCGAGCATTTAGGCTCCCTTATTTCACGAGTATACCATTTGATTACCTATTAATACCATGGGTGACGAATTACGTTTAACTTAGCAATCGTGAATTTTTGACATGTTTAACCTGGATCGTATCGATCGAGAACTCCACTCAGTGAAATGTTTATAGACCTCAAATTTGGCTTAAGTTCAGAATTTTCAA